AACGATTTTTAATAATTAATTACTCGTTAACTATTACGAAAATTGCAAAATGGTACAGGACTTTTCCATTCATCTCGATCCGTTCTACCTTCTCAAAAATTTTGTCGGATATGGAAAGACTCACCCTGTATAAGCAGACGTAAATGCGTTATGTTGGCATAATGCAGACAATTTGCTCTAGGATGGCGTAACTGCGTGTGTATATATATCTGTGTGTTCAATATAGAGCTTACAATGTCCGGTGTCTTTCATCAGAATATCTTATCGTTAAATATATTCGCGTTTTTGTGCTCGATGTCGCCGCCGGTTACCTAAGATGAACGAGAAGGTAAACAATCTTTCACTGACTCTGCTCTCTCTTACTGGCATAATTTCTCCGCCTGTATTCTATAAATGTTCCTCTAGGTTATGATTACACCTGCAGCCTCTGTAAAAAGTGCTTCTCATTCCTTGAGTAAGATGTGTATTAACGGTTTTAATACGAAGGGACAATTGTGCACGATAATTTGCCTTTTAATACTTTCCCCTCCGGTCGAGATCAATTTAGGTACTTGGATTCGTCAGGCTGATAGCAGAGAACGATCTGTAAGCGCTCGAGTCTGCCTTAGTCGTAGGCATAAAGCAAGGCAGAGAAAAACGTAAGTCATATACAATAGCCTTTCAAGGCTTACGTTTTTCTCTGCCTTGCCTTACGTCCACTACTTAAGACAGTCTTAAGCGATTACGGATTGTTCTCTGCCGTCAGCCTTAGTTTGGCAACTTACAATTTATCAGCGCGAATAAACCGAACGTATTTAAGTATTTCTTGACGCAGAGTACTTTCTCATATTTAGAACTTTGTTTATTAGCTTGTCATCTGTCACCGCAAGAATATTTTAGTGATGCCGGCCCAGAAATGCTCCTTACTCGTTTGCACAAGATTGTGCAATCCTATTCTCTGTATGCACAGATTCCTTTTACGTGAGTTTAGTGAAATTGCGGAAAGGAATTTCTTAAATAATTTACATAGCGTTGCGTTACTTTAGAATTCATTTATATTGACAATTTTTTAAAATGATAAAGTAATTCATTGATGACGTCATTCCTGATAATGTAATTTACAATGTTAATAACATAGTGAATGACTAACCATGTTCCTTTACCACATTTTCTTATAAGAAATTGTAGTTTATATTAAATTTAAACTAATGTAGTTTTTTTTTTCTTACAGACATCACCAAAAAAGTCATGCATTTCTCCAACCAGATCTCAGGACCACAGTGTGAAAAATGGGGTAGGTGCAGCTTGCTCGTGTACTAATTTCGCCTCTTTTGATACATTTTTATATTAAAATTTTTCACCGGTCACGATAACATTTGTAGCTTGCCAAAACAAAAGCCGTGCGAAAGGTACAACTCAAGGATGACTTCAATCCGGAATTAGAACCACTGCTCCAGGAAGGCCCAAACCGCTTCGTAATTTTCCCTATTCAGTATCCTGACGTCTGGGAAATGTACAAAAAGGCCGTGGCCTCCTTTTGGACCATAGAAGAAGTACCTCTTCACAAGGTAACTTCTAAGCTATAATATGTCTTTCTGAAGATATAAAATATACAACTTGAAAACTTGACATATTTAATAGCTTTCGGCAATTAAAAACAATTTCAAGTAGAAAATACAGATGGATTTTAATAAATATCTTGTATTCCTAGCAATGTGAATAATTTTTACAGCTGGACAAAGAGGACTGGGATGAAAAGCTAAGTTGCGACGAGAGATACTTTATCTCTCATATCTTGGCATTCTTCGCCGCTTCCGACGGTATCGTTAATGAGAATCTAATTGAGAGATTCAGTCAGGAGGTGAAAATCGCCGAAGCACGTTGTTTCTACGGCTTCCAAATCGCGATAGAGAACATCCATTCTGAAATGTATTCTTTGCTCATTGAAACTTATATTTCTGACGCGAAAGAGAAGTAAGTGGCATATATTTGCACGATCGCATATTGTTAACATATGTAGTGTTACCATTTTTATGCATATATACTTTCAAATTGTATATAAATTACGTATTCTATATTAAATTCATATTTCACGTACACAATTGTATTATCTTTAATTATAGAAACTACATTGATGAACGTCTTATTTTCAGAGACTTCTTATTTAATGCGATCGAGACGCTTCCTTGTGTGGGAAAGAAGGCCAATTGGGCATTGAACTGGATCAATCACGAGAGCGCTACATTTCCTGAACGTGTAATCGCGTTCGCGGCGGTTGAGGGTATCTTCTTCAGCGGCAGTTTTGCAGCGATCTTCTGGCTGAAGAAGCGAGGGGTCATGCCAGGGCTCACCTTTAGCAACGAACTCATCTCGCGAGACGAAGTTAGTAAATTAATTTTATTTGCATCTACATTTACATACACGTTATGTCATGTATTTCATAAATAATTCTTATCTAACATAATATATGTTTCTTTCTGTATTTTTTATTATAATATGTTTATACTCATTTTATCTTTACTGTTTTCAGGGATTACACTGCGATTTTGCATGCTTAATGTTTAAACACATCGTACAAAAGCCGTCGTTCGAACGTGTAAAGTCTATCATAATGGATGCTGTGGAAATTGAAAAGGAATTTTTGACGCAGGCGTTGCCAGTCGAACTGATAGGAATGAATTGCGGACTCATGTGTAACTACATCGAATTCGTCGCGGACAGATTGTTCGTTGCGTTAGGATTTGAAAAAGTAATATATAAAATCACTTATTTATCAATTACCGTTATATTTAAAATTTTATCATCCTTTATTTGACAGTGATGCTGATAATGTAACAAAGTTTAATCTCTTACATGATCATTTTAGGTTTACCTTTCGGAGAATCCGTTTTCGTTTATGAATTTTATCTCTCTGGAGGGTAAGACAAATTTCTTCGAGAAGAAAGTGGGCGAGTACAAGAAATTTGGTGTCATGGAAGACGGTTCTCAAACGAAAAATGGCTCGTCAAGTGTGGTGTTTAGTGCAAATTTTTAATATAAAAGGTTTGAACGTACAAATAATACTTATAAGAAATATTGTATACACTTCACGAAGGAAAAAGAGACACATCGATTAATTCTCGACTTTGAAATAGTTTTATATAACGATAAGCTTTGAAAAAAATCTGACAAATATTCGCGAGACGAAGAACTGTTTGTATAGTGTTTATAGTATATGTATATGTAAGTTGACGGCATCAATAAGAAAGATATTGACGCATTTTTGTGCATATTTTGAGTCACAGTTACCACAAAGTTATCTTATCAGTTTGTTTAAAAAAAGAACTTTAATCTATGAAGTTTTTAACTTTTTATATATTTAATTCTGATTGTAATAGACAAAAACTTTTTTACCCCGGATAGCATGCATGTCCAAGACATCTTTAAGACGCATTAAATTGTCTTTTAAACATGTACACCTAAAAGATGTTTCAAAGATGTCTTTGTGACTTGTTTTTAGATATGCATTGCTATTGAGACACTTTTATTGTGCCGTCAAATTGTTTAACAAGCTTTTGAGAAGCAAACCATATTTGCAAAAAATCTTTAGTGTATAAAATATTAATTAAAACAAATTCTAATTTATTATGTAAGACTAACCGTGATGTTTGACACTTTCGAGAAATGTATTTTTATGATTCGATTAAGATTTTATAATTGAACAAATCAACTAAAAAGTTAGACATCAATATTAATTTCTTGTTATAATTATAAGATATGTGAAAAGTTGTTGTATCATGTAATTGTTTCATCATAAAGTCTTACTAATGATTGGACATATCGAAAGCAGACTATATAAGTTTCAACAAATAATCATACAAAGAGTCTCGACTTAAAAACTGGTACTTAAAACAGTATTCGTATAAATAAGTTTTTGCTTGTATATAAACGATAACTATGTTGCGACAAAGCTAATCAATAAATAAAGTTTCTCTAAACTTTTTATTATGATGCTGAGGATTTTGGAAAGGAAGTTATGCAGAGATTTTCAAAACAAAAAGAAGAATATAGTTATGAATTGAACTGTGGATGATTTGAAACGGGTTTTGATTTTATTACAATATATATGTATATGCACAAGATTGATATGCTGAAAGAGAAATTGTACAGCTGCCTTACGTTCATTTACAAATTATTACATACTTTTGTACTTATATAACATACACTCTCATACATATTTAATATTCAAGTATGATAATATAAATTGGTAATTTCAGATATAGTAAGTAGTTTACTGAAATGTATGTATAAAATATATTTTCTCATGGAAGTTTAGGTATAATTAACACAGGGTTATCAAGGAAAAGGTATTTCAAAGCCTTTCTGCACTCGATTGAGGTACTGCTTGCGGCATTCCATGTTCTCAGCCGGTCTATTGTGCGGCAGCCAAACTGGTTCTCCCACAAAGTATCTCTTCGCGTTTATATAATTCTAAAAGAGTTTCCTCGGAAAATTAGATCTATTTAAAGTTTATTTTAAATTAACTCATTTAAAATTTATCTTAAATTAACTCTGAATTTATTTAATACACTTGTTTAGCGTCTGTTTATTAAGAACAAAAGGGAAAATATTTTTCCAGCAACTTGGGTGAACATTTCAAAAATGATTTGGCAAGAGGAGGAAAATACACTGTGCCAGATCAATCGTAAGGAGAAGAATGTATTTATATTCTTACGTTGGTGTCCAGAGTGAACCGATGATAAATTCCACTGGGTATGATTACCAGATCACCGGCCGTCACCTCAATCCGAATCCACTGGTCATCCTTATCCCGCACGTCAAAGTAACCCGAGCCATCCAGAACCAGGCGTATCTCCTCATCGGTGTGAAGATGTTCGGTGAAGAAATTTTTTAACTAAAAATTACAAATTCGAACGGAGAAGGATATATTAATGTAATTGCAGGTATCGATGCAATATGCTGTTAAACATACAACGTCAATTAACACCGGTTTATCACCAAACGTCGCTTAACTTTAATTTTAGTTTAATTCATGTTCGTCTCTTTCTAGAAAACAATTGGAAAGAGACAAAGAATGAATTAAGTTAAGCGACGATAGCAAAATTGGGCCTTGGAGATCTTAATTTTTTTGTACCAAGTAATAATTGTGATTTAGAGATACAGATTTATCTCGTACCTTCTCTTCGTAATTTTGTAAACATTCTTTGGAGCACGTTATTTCATCTTCATACGTGTAACCGCGTTTCTTGCGTAATTCCTTCAAAGTAGCATCCGTCTCATACTCCAGATAATTTATCTGAGAAAAATAGATATATATAAATACAATTTTTATGTTACTTGCAATCTTCTATTGGACATCGTGGTAGTGTCTAAAAGTTCTATTTACATTAAAACAATGTGTCTTATATATAATTATACATGATTGAAGGACTAATATTAAACTAATATAAAAAATAAAACATTTGTAAGATTTATGATTGCAGAGGTCGAAAATTATGTAATTACAATTAGTTTGGTCTTGTTAGATGTAGCTTCTCTCAGTTGCCCTTTCTGGATTCAATTTGAAGCTAAAGAGCATAGAGGGCATATTGTAAGTAAAAATATATATTGTACTGCTTAACGGGATACAAAATAATACATGTATGTATATATATATAATTTATTTCAATATATTTAGCAGGATTCAGCTCCACTGTCAACTGACATTGGGAGAGATCGTCGCTGAAGGGCAAGGAATCCTGTACCATCTCGTCAGCCGCACGTGTTTTCCAAACATACCGCGCGTAAGTAGACATCGAATATAACGTCCGAACAGGTCAAATGAAACGTTCGCAACGAACGATCTCAAAAAGAATAAGGATCGGCATACTTCTAACCTTAAAGTACTCGACTCCCGTTGCAGTGAACAGGTTGTCCAGCGACACGAATTCCGGCGGCTGCCTGTGGTGTTCCGATCGTTGATCAGCATCGCTGTCGTCCATATACCAGGCGCGCACCATAGTCCCGTTCAACCGATAACAACAAAAATCAGTATTGCGCCGCACGGCGTTGACGGAGACCGGGCTTGTGCGTTTCAACTGGATTGTATGACGTAAGCAATTGACCAATTATCAGCTTGCCAGCATCTCCCCACGATAAGGAACTGCGGGGCAGATATACGAGGAAATTTCGAATAAGAGAGAATCTTTGAAGAGAGTCCTGGTAAGTCAAAATTTGTGTACACTGTATTATACGATTCTTGTATTATAAATTAATATATTTATTTATTTGCTTTATTACTTAAAAATGCAGTTACGTTCTATTTATTATCATTTAAATATTCATTACAGAGAGAAAGGATCCGTTTTACTTTCTTTTCCCTGATTAAATTATCTCTATACTTTAACAATTTTATAATAATTTAAAAAATTATCTTATTAAATACAGCGCTGTAAAAATCTAATGTCTTGCAAGAGCAGAAAAATATTGAAGAGACTTCATCTGCTTCATGAAAAATATTGTAATTGTATTTGTGCATTTTATAACAATGTCTTGCGTCTTAGTTTACGATTTTTCCAATAAATGGACGACAAATATTGTAACCCCAACAAATATAATTTTGTATTTTGTCTTCACGTAAACCAAATTGTGATAATGATTGTAATAAAATTAATTATCCGATTTCCTACTAAAAGTTTTATATCTTCACGATAGAAATATCATGCTGCAAGCTTATATTTCTTATATAAGCTTCTAAATTAATTTTTTATAAATAAGTTAAGGTTTAATATATTCGTTATGATAAATTGTGATAAATTAGGCAACGTGGAGGAAAGCAGCTTTCTTCTAAATATTAAATCTAGAAGAGGGTAAATGTCATCATTTCGACCATGTCCGTAATAACGGAAAGATCGTCATTAAAAAATAATTAATTTAAAGCCAAGAATTAGTTGATGCATCAAAATAATGTTACAGTTCATTTGGGAGTAATATGTTTAGTAATATTATTAAACTTATTAAACTCTGCTTTTCCCTAGCTAAACGCAGCCCATTCGCACGTGTCCGCGCGGTAGGACACGTGTTAGCACGAATCGCGTGCGGTCTGGAATTGCTCGAGGCTCCGGCGTGTTTCTAACCTCAAAATATTGACGTGAACGTCGGTGATTCCCTACAGTGTTTTTCGTCCGTACAACGGAATATACGTACGTAAAACTTTTGTTCGGATAAGAAAAATACGAACCGACGAATATGGACTTCTGCGTTACATTGCGTTCTGACCAGTCATAAGCGATTCGATGATTATCGACTTTTTAGTATTAGTCAACATTGAAGGAGTCCATGGGAAGTATACAAAAGACAGTGCTCATAAACGATTGTTTGTGACGGCGAAAGGGACAAATTTTGAGTAAGACGCCCGTTAAATCTTGGTAAGCCACAATTTGTTTTTTTACTCTTATCAATTTTATGTATTATGAAATAGTGTTGTACATATTTGTTACATTATTGAAATACTTTTTATACAGTGTCTATTTATCAGCATTCTGTAAAAGCAGTAAGGGAACCTTTGCTTCTATATTTTGTGGTACTTGTTTCTGTAGTGTTAATTTTTCTTTATCGGATTAACGTTATGTGACATGAAAAGTTTGTCTTCTATAAATTTTTTAAATAACAAGATAATTTATCTCATCTTATCTCATTTCATATATATACTTTAATTTTATATAATACTTGCGTAATTTTTGTTCTTTTGACTTTATTTTTCTTGGTGATCAGTTTCACAGTATGATTTAAAATATTTCCCATTAAAATGTGGAACGTGAGCTACTTTTACAATTACGTTGCGTATTTATATTATTGTTTTACAGTTTTAATATTATATTTTGTTATACTCGAGCGCACTGAAGACACATACACGAATGAAATAATATTTAGATATTTTTATCATATGTAAAGTCACCCGTAATTTTTGTTAATCCTCTATTATTTTACCAGGTTTTTCTTCAAGATGGAGAGCTGCCTTTTCTCCATGGATATGCAGAAGCTGCTGTTAAAGGAACAGAGAAAATGTGGCGAGCTGAAATTTATTTTGTCTCGAGCCACAGAGGAGACCTCGCGTTTCATCGACGAATTACTAGAAGCCATTACAAGTGTTGCTAAAAAGTACAACTTGTATAATATTAAGCTGTTCTGTGGAAACGACAGTGCCTTACCGTATGAAATCCCTTCGAACATTTTTGCCGATTTCACGTATTTTGTGTTGAATACTAATTTCACTACACGGCACCTTTTCACGGAGAACATAACAGTCAGCCATTTACTCGATGTGTGGCCTACTATATCACCATATCTCTTCATACAGGTACATTCTTGC